CCCCCCGCCGCCGCCGCCGCCGCCGCCCTGCTCCCCCCCGCCGGCACCATTCCTTCCCCGGGGCGCCAGCGCGCCCCGGCCGGGCGGCGGCTCAGCCTGGGCCGGAAAACTTTGCTGGCGGCCGCGGCGGGGGTGGTGATGGTTCTGGTGCTGGTGGTGCTCATCCCGGTGCTGGTGAGCTCCGCCGGTGCCGACGGCCGGTACGAGATGTTGGGCACCTGCCGGATGGTCTGCGAGCCCTACGGCCCCGCCGCCCCCCCGCAGCCCGCCGAGCGCGGCCCCCTCCCGCCGCCCTCCACCCTGGTGCAAGGTCCCCAAGGCAAACCGGGGAGACCGGGCAAACCGGGACCGCCGGGACCGCCCGGAGAACCGGGACCGCCGGGGCCGGTGGGCGCGCGGGGTGAAGCAGGAAGACCGGGACCCCCGGGATTACCGGGGCCGGGGGCTACGGGCGCGGTGAGCGCRGCCACCTACAGCACGGTGCCGCGAGTCGCCTTCTACGCCGGCCTCAAGAACCCCCACGAGGGCTACGAGGTGCTCAAGTTCGACGACGTGGTCACCAACCTGGGCAACAGCTACGACGCCGCCTCGGGCAAGTTCACCTGCGCCATCCCCGGCACCTACTTCTTCACCTACCACGTCCTCATGCGCGGCGGCGACGGCACCAGCATGTGGGCCGACCTCTGCAAGAACGGGCAGGTAAGGGCTGCCCATCCCGGCTCCCGCTGCGGGAACAGGAGCTCCGCTGTCCCCCAAGCACGGGAGAAGCGCTCTGGGTGCTCCCTCGGGGTGCCCCGTCCTTTTCCTGGCCTCCGCGATGCACCCTCGGGATGTTTCCTCCTCCTCCTGGCCCCAAAAATGCGCCTCCAGGGTGCCACATCCTTCTCCCGGTGCTGCTGATGGACTGCGGGTGCTTCTCCAGGGTCCCCATCCTTTACCCAGCTCCAGAGATGCATTCCCTGGGTGCTCCATCCTTCTCCTGGCCCCAGGGATGCACCCCCAGGGTGCCACATCTTTCTCCCAGTGCTGGTGATGGGCTCTGGGTGCTTCCCGRGGGGCCCCATCCTTTCCCCAGCCCCAGAGATGCATCTCCAGGGTRTCACAGCCTTCTCCCTGTGGCAATGATGGGCTCTGGGTGCATCCCTGGCGTGCCACATCCTTCTCCCCGACACTGGCATGCACCCTGGGGTGCTTCATCCTTCTCCCGGTGGGGAAGGTGGGCTCTGGGTGCACCCCCAGAATGCTCTGTCCTTTTTCCTATCCCCAGGAATGCACCCCCAGGAGGCTCCCTCCCTCTCTCGGTGACAATGACGGGATGTGGATGCGTTTCCAGGGTGCCACATCCTTCTGCTGGGTGCCGAGGTGTAACCCCAGGGTGTTCTGTCCTTCTCCCAGTGACACAATGGACTCTGGGGACACCCCCGAGGTGCTCTGTCCTGCTCCCAGCTMTGGAGCTGCATCCTCAGCGTGTCCCAGCCTCCTCTCCGTGCCAAAGATGCTCCCCCAGGATGCTCCATCCTTCTCCCAGTGGCAATGATGGGCTCTGGATGCGTCCCCGGGGTGCTCTGTCCTGTGCCCTGCCGTCAAGGAGCACCCCTGGGATGCCCTGTCCTTCTCCCAGGGCTAGTGAAGGGCTCCGGGTGTACCCCAGGGGTGCCCGATCTGCTTCCCATTCCCCGACGCTGCCCTGTGTGCCCTGTCCCTTTYCCAGTGCTGGGGACAGTCACCATCCGCCTTGACGTGTCCCCAGGGGTTCCCTCAGCTCTTTCCTTGGCCCCAGAGATGTGCCTTGGGGTGTCTTGCAGTGCCCTGGAGCACCCCCACAGCGTCCCCGGGGTGTCCTGCCCGSCCCCCGCCCCCCGGTCGTGACATTGTCCCCGCTGCGGTCCCCGGTGGGGACAGGGYTCCTGGGCAGGGACAGTGTCTGTGGTGGCCTCGAGGGGGGCAGCGCCTGCCCCGCTTTTAGGGGGCTGCACCCCCAGCCCGGAGCCTGCTCTGCTGCTGCTGYTGTGTCAGGAGAGATGTCCCCAAGCCGGCTGGGCTGCGTGGGGTCCCCTCGGGGGACACATCCTCGAGGGTGGCTCCATCCTTCCCCCTTCCCGCTCCCGCATCCCCCCGACCCCATCCCGCTAAGCCCCGCAAATGCCAGGACTCAGCCTCGCCATCCCCGCGGTTTTCGGGGGGCCCTTCCCCCCTTTTTCCAAGCCGTGTCTCCCTCCCGGCCACCACTCGAGGGACAAGATGTGGCTGTGACCCCCGGGATGTCACCCGAGCTCAGTTCCCCTGGATGTCACCGCAGCCGGCATTCCCGCCGGGATCCATCCACCCCGCTCCCGCTTCCCATCGCTTCCTCCGGCRTCACACCCCGCGGCGCATCCTCGTCCTGAGAATGTGGGACCCCGAATTAACCCAAAACGGAGTTATCACCCCAAAAGCAGCCGGGGTGTGAAGGAGGGAGTGGGAGTCTTGTCACGGCCACCGCGCTTCACCCCCCGACTCTGAGCYCTTGCGAGCGGGAGCACAGCAGGAGCCGCTCGGCAGCTTTTCTCCTTCCAAACAGCTCAAATTTCCTTTTATTGGGATTTGTTTTTTGTCTTTCCCCACACTCCAGCCCCAGATTTTGGGGTGTCCCAGCGCCGCTTGGCACTTCTGTTTTTTTATGCCAAGCAGCATTCGTGTAACTCCAGACTGAGCACCCCAAAAACTCACCTCAACCCTTTTGCCTWCCACAAAATATTTTTGGGCACCACCCCAAACCTTTCCAGCCCCCAACTCTGCGGGGCATCGAYATTCCTGGATGAATTTCCAGAAGCTATGGAGCCCCTTGTCAAGCGGAGCCGCGCTCGGGCGGGTGATGCAGCTTAATTAACTGCTTGTTAATTACTAACAAGGCATCGCCGCATCGATATCTATAAAAAAGATCCCCCACAATGCCCCAAATAATTTAAAAATGGGGTTATTTAGGGGTTTGCTGCCAAAAATCCCTTATCCCTGGCATGGTGTGGGGTTCCCAGCGGATAAATGTCGATCCTGCCATCTTCGGAGCGACTCAGAACTTGGGGGCCCCCTCTGACCCCCAAATTTCCCCTGGGTGTGGCCGCTTTGGGGGCAGCCCATCACCGTTGGGTCGGGGCTGCAGTTAATGAGAGCCAGGGGAGCTGCTGCTGGTGGTTAATTAGCATTAATTATTATTTGTATTAGCCCGTAGCTGAGGCGAGGGCAGCGGGAGGRGGGAGGTGGATGGACAGAATGACGGACGGATGGACGGACGGACAGCGGGATGGGACCGGGGGGGGTTTGGGACCCCCATGGTATAGGAGGGCCATCTACAGCTCAGGAGGGTCAGAGCCACAGGGGTCCCTGTTGGGGACAGCCCCCAAGGGTACACAAGGACCGGCTGGGGGTCCTGGGGGCACCCACTGCCCTGTCTGGGGATCCTGGGGGGCACCTGCTGCTGCGCCCAAGGGTCCTGGGGGACACCTGCTGCTGTGCCCAGGGGTCCTGGGGGACACCTCCTGCTGCACCCATGGGTCCTGGGGGACACCTGCTGCTGTGCCCAAGGGTCCTGGGGGACACCTGCTGCTGCACCCAGGGGTCCTGGGGAACACCTTCTGCTGTGCCCAGGGGTCCTGGGGGACACCTGCTGCTGTGCCCAGAGGGGTCTGAGGGGGAGCACCCACGGCTGCTCTCGGAGGTGCTGGTGGGGCACCCAGCGCTGTGCCCGAGGATCCTGAGGAGCACCTTCTGCTGTATTTGGGGGTCTTGAGGGGCAGCTGCTGCCACGCCTTGGGAGTCCTGGACCAGATCTGGGTACRTGGGACACGTGATGTCCCTGAGGCCCCAAGTGTCACTGCGAGCAGCTTGGCCTAGACATGGCAGCACCCCGCTGTCCCCTGACTTTTGGGTTCAGCCACCTTGGGGACCGCTTCAGAGCRTCCCCAGCACCGGGGACACCCCCAGCATTGTCACTGGCGTCGGGGACAGCGGCTGCAGCAGTCGGGRCCGGGGCCGTGTCGCCACCATTGCTCCCACCTCCGGGCTGTGTCACGGGGAAACTGAGGCACAGAACAGGACAAAGGGGTGAGGCCATCGCGGGGGGCCGTGGTGGCAGCCCCCCCTCCCGTGCCACTGCGCTGCCGGGAGCGGCTCAGCCCGGGTCCAGCGCTGCCATTTATCTTCCCTGGTTAGCGAGGGCTGGCGGGCGCGCCGTGACGAGGCGGCTCCCTAACGAGGGAAGACGGATGGCACCGGGCAGCTCCAGCTGTGGCGGGGGGGACAGCGGTGGGAGCCCGGCGCCAAAYGGCTTTTCCTGCTTCTCCTCCCACTCCTCTTCCTCAGCAAAACCCCACGAGAGGCAGCGTMCCCTGGAGATTGGGGCGCTGTGACKGGCTGGGATCCAGTGCCCACCCCGGGGGTGAGGACCCTCGCGGTGGCAGGGTAGACACAGGGTGACTTTTAGCAGGGTGACARTGTTGGGGGTGGCATGAGGGATACGGCTGTGTGGGTGAGAACAAATCTTTTGGGATCCCCAGCCGCGCCGTCCGTAGGTTCCAGAGTTCACAGCATCTCACCCAGCATCGCTGGCGGTCGGTGGGCGCGGGGAGGTGCGGCTGCACCCCTGGGGAGGAGTGACCCCTGGGACCCCTGTCCTGGGGACAAAGGACAGCCCTGCATGGGGCCAGCCCTCCTCCCCCCGCCGCTCCGGTGCCTGCCCGCCCCGCGCGAGCCAATTAAGAGCCGATTGTCGTCGGTTGTAATTAGCGGCACCTTCTCCCGGCGCAGCGCTTCTGCATTTCACTTGGGATTTCACCAGCCGCCTTGTCACTGTCACCCAGCGCCGCGATCTCCCCGCGAGGCGCCGGCGGAGATTTGATTACCCAAAGAATTCTGCAGCGGCAGCGGGCTCCAGCCACGGAGCGGCTTCTCCAGGCGGTGACGGCTCCTCTGGCTCTGCCGGCACCCAGGAAACCTTCACGGGGGGAGCATCCCTGCCCGCAATGGGTGCGGGTTCGTGTGAGGGGGGATTTGAGTTCAGCCCCCTACACACGCTCAGGGTCCCTGTGCAGCTCCTGGGAAATTTTTGGGGATGCGCTGGGTTCAGTGGCTGGTTTGGGGCTGGGCTGGGAGATGGGATCCTGTGTCCGGGCATGGTCTTGTATCCAAATCCAGAGATGGAGTCCTGTGTCTCAGCTGGGACCCTGCATCCTAACCTGGATCACGGGTCCCATGATGGAGCTGTGGTCCCACATCCGAGCTGGGAGCTGGGCTCCTSTGTTCGAGACATGGTCCCACATTGGGCTCTGGAGCTGGGATCCGGTATCTGAGCTGGGATCCTGGACCCGGSTCCGGAGTCAGGGTCCTCTGTGTGAGCGGTAGTCCCGTGTCTGAACCCGGAGCTGTGCTCCCTTGTTGGAGCCGTGGTCCCATGTCTGACCCACGGTCCTGCACCCAAACCCGGCTTTGGGGTCCCGAGTCGGAGCTGTGGTCCCCACTCCTGTATCAGAGATGGAGTTCTGTGTCTGAGCTGCAGCCCTGAGCCGCAGTTTGAGAATCCAGAGCCGCGGTCCCACATCTGTGCCGTGATCCTCACCCAAACCCAGAGCCGCGGTCCCACATCTGTGCCCGCCGGGTCAGGGAGAGGCTCCGGGCGATGCTCGGAGGAGCCGCCTCCACCCGGGACCCGTTCATCCACGGGTGGGGATCCAGGACACCCCACGCTACCCCGGGGCGGGTGGATCTGGCTGTGGGTGAGCCAAGACCCGGGGTGTCCCGTGGGATCCGCGGGCCGAGGCGTGTCCTGAGCCGGTCCCGCGGTGTCCCCTGGGCAGGTCCGGGCCAGCGCCATCGCGCAGGACGCCGACCAGAACTACGACTACGCCAGCAACAGCGTCATCCTGCACCTGGACGCGGGGGACGAGGTGTTCATCAAGCTGGACGGGGGCAAAGCCCACGGYGGCAACAACAACAAGTACAGCACCTTCTCCGGCTTCATCATCTACTCGGACTGAGCCCGGACCCGCGGCACAGCCCCCGGCATTCCCCGCAGTGACCCCCCAGCCCCACGGTATCCCCGTGCCGTGGTTCCGTTCCCTGCTGCCCCCCAGCCCCGCAGCCTCCCCKCGCTCCTGCCCAGCCCCACGGCATCCCCCTGCCACCGTCCAGCCCATGGATCCCCCGCTCCCAGCGCTACCGGTGCCTTCGGTGCCCAGACCCGCTCTCGTTCCATCAGCTCGCTCCAAGGCTGCCAATCGAGGGCTTGAGGTTCCGGAGGGTTGGGGGGTGGCAGGAGGCTGGGGGTGTCCCCCKCGCTGCCCCACGGGACCCCATCCCCGGCTGTGCCCCCCGTGTCCCGCCCCTGCTCTCTGCCCGCCGCGGGGCGATGCCGGGGGTCTCGGCGGGGTCCGGCTGTACAGTGTCCTCACGGCCCCGGGCGGGGGGCTGTGCTGGGGCGGGGGGAGCCGCTGTTCTGCCCCCGCCTCCCGCCGGGGTGACAACATGGTAAAGCAGAGCTGTGATCTCTCCCCGTCTGCTGTCTGTGTCCCCGATGTCCCCCACCCCGGGGGACGATGCCGCCACCTCCCCGACGCCGCTTTATCAAATCAACCCAGTCAAGAGAGGCTCCCTGTCCCTCTGCCACCTTCGGTGGGGACACGGGGGGTGCCGCCACTGCTGTGTCGCTGTCCCCAGAGCCCAGGTGTCACATGTGGGGGTGTCCCCTGAGAAACACAGCATCGCCACTTCGAGAGGAGGGACACGGGCAGTCCACACAGAGCCACTGGGACCCTCGGGCACACGCGCCCGTCACCGCTGCCTCGGCACGGGCAGGACGTGGCCCAATTAGAGGTGACAGCGGGTGCCCGGGGCCAGGGGCCGCCTCCGGAGTGGCTGTGGTGGGATCAGAGG